ACCTCTGTTACATATCAAAACTATTGCGATAATCTTAGTTATATATAGTAAACAAATTGCTTAACAGTTTTGCATGGAATATTGTTTAAGATTTGGATAATTTATGCTATGCTACAACCACACAGTTCAAATGTAATGCCTGTTAACACGTTTTGGATTTCAAAATCAGATGTAGTAATATAAAAATGTTCAATATAAAACAAATAATACAAAAATAAATAAATAAACAAACAAATAAAATGCAATACAGTGTAAAGCATTGGTGAGGTGAAACTACAAGAATATGAAAAATAACCCTGCACTACTTGTGGAACTTTAATGAATTTTATAAATATATCTAAAATATATACAAATTAATTTATTGTCATTTTATAATCATTTATCATTCAATTCACATTTTTATATACGGTTTGTTTCCACCTGCCTTGTGACTTGGTAAATTTGCACCATTTGTCACAGCTGTCAAAAATACATAGTATGGTCATATTGGTCTTTAAAAAAACTCTTGAAGTTAGTTTGTTTGAAGTGTAATTTTTTTTATGTATATATAATTTTTCACCTGTGTGTGTTTGTTGTAGAACAAAATGAGGTAAATTCAGAGCCGCGGAAGTTCCTGTTTTCCTGACAGGTCACAGCAAACTCTTGATTTCAGTAAATATTTCTGTTTCGGTTTAATGAGTTAGAATAAGTATTGAATTAAGGAGAATTTTGACATTTCTTTCAAACATTATTTTATCCAGGAAGAAGAGAATATCCTTTATTGAAGGTCTTGAAGAAGAAATATAACCAGATTGAGTCAAGAGTGATTTTGTTCCTTTACATCGCTCTGTTGCCTCAAGAAAATATTACAGGAGTTAAAGAGAACACAATTAGTCCAGAGGTATTCAGGGTTGGGTGATCACACAGCATCAAAGATAAAAAAACAACCGACTACACACAGACAAAAATGTATGGCAATGATCCGGAATCTAAACAGCCAGATGGAGAATCTAAATGCTATCCTTTCAGATCACCATCAAAACTCAAAGAATCATGCACCTACATACGCATCCCATTCTCTCTAATGTCTGGCAATGAATCAGAATCTAAAGAAGAAAATGAAAGGGTCAGCTCTCCCTACAAATTTATCGATGGATTTCCTTCAGGTTGTACTGACCTAAGGAAAAGAAAATCGTATGTCCTGTCATACAACAATGAAACGAAGAATGCTGAATGGGTGTATGAGATACTGAACAAAAGTATTATAACTAAAAGTAACCAAACTGCTGAAAATGATCAAATCAGTTCAAAATACATGAACTTTGGAGAGACATTATCTAACAAGGACTATGAACAAGGTCATCTCGCTGCGGCTGCCAATCACAGATGGTCTCAGGAAGCCTATCATGACACGTACTTGATGAGCAACATTGTACCTCAGCCTCAGGCCCTAAACAAAAGCCCCTGGAAAAGGTTTGAGAATTATTGTCGATATACTGCTGCAAAAGCCTCTGTCCGCAATGTCCATGTGTACTCTGGACCACTTTACCTGAGAGAAAAAGAGAAGGGTGAGTATGCTCCTGTGACTGACACTAGTAAAATGACATGGTTGGATGGGAAAGCAGTGCCAACTCACTTATTTAAGGTGATTACTGTAGAGAATAACAATGGGACAGTAAAACACCCAGACGTCTTTGTGATGCCCGAACTGTATATTGATGAGGAGGATGGACATTTACGAAATGACATAGGAGACAATATAGTCTATCTAAAAAACAAGTACAGAATGGATAGTGAGTTATTTCAGAGCCTCTCTGGGCTGCAATTCCTCAAAAGCTGTCCTAATGAGGAAATGATGGTCAGTATAAAGACAATTAACTGGAAGGGAGAAAATAAATTAGGAGAGATATGTAGTGTTCAAACGGAAGTGAGACTAAGTTACCCACCTCTTAAGTTGATTTAGTTCTGTGGAAACCAGTTGCCTTATACCAGGGGTGTTCAACAATTTCATCCTTTGGGAGGCTTGTAGCTTTTCTCTACCTGTTTGCTTATAAAAAGTTGTATAAACATCCGTAAAAAAAAAAAAGTAAACATTATAAGCTTGTCAGTCACTGCGATCAACCAGTATTACACACTCTCAGAAAAAATAAAAAAAAGCTGGGGTGTTAACTTTTCAAAGGGTACACTTTTGGAGCCAAAGGGTGTATATTGGTTCCTTATAGGCACAAAATCTGACATTTTGAAAAGGTACCGCCCCAGTGACTTTTTTTATTTTTATTTTTTTCTGAGAGTGCAGTTAGCTAGATAATAGCAAAAACTATAGACTCAAGAAATGTGTCATTATATGACAGTCAACAAAAGACTAAGCCGCTTCGGTTTGCAGAGCATGACCATGCAATTCTAAATGTTTAACAGGCTGATGATTATTAACTACAGTACAGATAATTAATTCTCACAACTTATTCCTTTGTTTGAATAAATCACACTGAAGGATGTAAGGGTTTAACAACACATGTGTTCCTTTCATAGTTCAAACTGTCCTCTACAGAAAGAGTAGAAAAAACCTCTAGCGCTTTACCCACCAAACGACATTGCAACAAAAGAGCCCAAAGCTCTTTCGGCCAATGAAGGGATGTTGCAATGCGCTCGAAAGCACTAAAATAGGAGTCTATCTCTGTCTCACGAAAAAGTGGCACCAACGCAATATGTTTACTCACATCAAATGAGCCGGTTGCTACAGATGGAGCAGAGGGAACAGTGGGAGTAGAAGAAACAACAGGAGCAGGGATAACAGTGGCAGCGGTAGTAACTCGAGGGAGATCTGGTTGCGCAGCTGAACCTCCCACAATTCTCATTGCATCGAGCTCCAGCTGTCGCATTTTGATCTGTTTCTCCGCCTCAATCTCAAGTCTACGAATTTGCAATCGCAAATCCATTTCCTCCTGCCGAATCTGCACCTTCTCTTGCGCTTCCGTCTGCAAACGAGCCAAACGGACTTTCAGTCTCGCTCCCTCTTTTGAGCCTGTAGACATAGGAGAGAATGGTTCAAATTGAGGCAACCTCGCCCTAACATCGGCGTCCACCTCCGCCGCAGGCATCAGTTCTTCCTCACTCTCATTCTCACTCCTAGCAATTGCTCCCATAACACTGCCCACTGCTATATCCACCTTTTCCGACAAACCGAGCACATTCATTTCCACTAGTCGATTATACACAACAGATTTAATCTCTCCCTTACGAGACTGTTTACCTACTGCAATCTGAAAATGACTTGCTATTGCCAACAAATCATCCTTCTTACAACTATCTAATTGTTCTAACGAAGGATTTTCTAAAAACGTCTGCAAATCCAAACTAGCCATACTTACGATACTGCTCACCACACATATAACTCTCAACACACACCAGTGAAAAGTATGCCACGAATGCGACGAATTGGCCTACATTATTCCAGGATCATCAAACTCAGAACAATTTATTCTGATCTCGGACGAGCCCCCATTTATGTTACGACCCTCCTTTGGTTGTTAGGCGTCTAGGGACTAAGAAGGGGAACATTAGACCAGTTTTGACCAGTACCAGTTTAAGACATAACTTACCTACCCCTTTACCTCCTTCCAGTTTTAACACATCTTTGAAACAGCTTTATAAGGCTCTCAAATATCACAGATCAGGAGGTTCGGGCCAGCCAAGTAGGCAAGCTATTTTACATGGCAATCAAAGCACACCACACACTAAACCAAACAAACAAAACACACAAAAAGAATATCACAGCCCAAGTTCACCAAGCCGGCTCTCGCGTACACTGGCGTTTCCCTTATATAGCACAGGTGGATGTCAATCAGCGAGCGCGATGGAAGAACAACCCCCTCCCATCATCAGACCCAATCAGCTCATCCCGAATGATTGACAAGTGAGCCGACCAATCCGCACGTCACCTGAAAAAGTGAAAGTAAAAGGGATAGACAGAACGCGACAGGGGGAAAAAAACTCAAGCAGAAGAACACAAAAACAAGAAAATACTCAAACGACAAGTCAGCATCACATAGGGACGTAACATTTAGCAAATGTGGGCTTGCATTCTGTTCATTTGCTTAGTTGCACTAACATAGTGTTACTGTTCACAGAAGGACTAAACTAAGCTTCTTGTGCTTAGAAGCTCTAACTTAATTTCATGAGCATAGAAGTCCTATCAGATTAAAATCTGTCTTTCTGCATTGGAAAAAAAACATTTAATTTCACTTCTTGGAGATAACGTTCATGTGGGCAAGCTTTACTCTTAACATTGCAAAAACCAATTGTCTGTAACAGAGAAAGAAAGTTTTCAGCATCTGTGGGTTTGCATTCTCTTCATTTGC